TTAAAAAAAAAAAAAATATTAAAAAAATATGCCAATGGCTGACCTTAAAAAGGTGACCTCACCCCCCCCCCCCCCAACAGAACAAAATGTCAAATTTTCAAATTTCGAGACCAAAAAAAAAAAGGTGTCTTCTCCCCCCCCCCCCCCCCCCCCCCCCCCCCCCCCCCCCCCCCCCGCAAGAGGGAACAGTGCCCCGCCCCGTTTTTTAAAAAGTTTTTTTTTCAAGTACCCCAATCAATTGTGAAAGCCCCGTTCATCACTTTTGAAAAGGCCGAACATTACGATAACGTAGCACGTACATAATCCGCACATGATCTCAACACGGTTGTTGTTTTGAGTTGATTTTTCGAAAGTACTTTGCAATCGTCTCATGATTCTGAGAAAGCAAAGTATAGGTACCCCAGCAGACGATCGAAAAACACCGCGGAGGGGTTGGAGATGCCAGTCTTGTAGAGAAGATCACCTTCACCTTGGATCTGCTGAATGTTCATGGCGGACATCCATAAGGAACGACCGCCTCGGACCCAGTAGATCGTCCGACCATCCACGTCTAAAGTAAGGTCCCGTATCGCTGAAGCTGTAAACCAGAATAATATACCATTTTTTAAAGCAGATGTTTCTGTATGTATTGATAAATCATATGTAAAACATTCAAATAACAATAAAAGTATATAACATAATTGATTTACATAAAGAGTGACAACTTAAATACACACACATAAAAATGCATATATATATATATAATAATTGAAAGCTTGTAAGTATGGAGGTAAGTAAAATAATCAAGATAGATGCAGAGGCCAACTAGCATAAGCAAGAATGCTTGAGTCGATAGCAGCCGGGAAAAGGGGGGGGGGGGGTACATGGCGCTGTTATAGGAGTAAGTAGGATAGTATAGTGTCACGTATAAAGATTTTGTAATGTTATCAAATTGTATGCATAGTTCTTTAGGACTATAAGACGTAGCTGATATCACCAGTTGTTTATTGTAGCCAAGCTTTCGACATTATAGCCTATACGGGCTATACAACAAAGCGAATTTTACAGAATTTTACTCACGAATTTGAAATGCAAAAATACATAAATTAATGTAAAGTATCAAGGATAAGTTTTTTTTTAGATACAATGCAGGGCCCGCGGAATGACAGGGCTCGCGGGGCCTGCAATAATCAATATTTAATCGGCGGTCATGCATGAATGCCTATATGGTGTATTTTAATCAACCGATGGTGAGATTATCATTGTATTTGAGTTTCATCCACGATACCAGTTTCGTAATACATCATATATAATGCTCATTCATTCAAAATCATTTATCTGTTTGGAGGATGGATTGTGTTTAACGATACTGATGCGTTCATCCGTGAATGCCAATAATTAAATATCCTATTCTGTGGAGGATGAAACTTTTTTTTTGAATGGTGTTGATTTGTATTGCTGCAGCGAAAATGCATTACGTTGTCCTCACGTTTTGTATGGAAGATGTAATGCGTTTTAATCAACTGATTATGACTTCTTCATTGTGTTTGAATTTCCTAATAATAATTTCATATCCTTTATCTGTTTGGAGGATGGATTGTGTTTAACGATACTGATGCGTTCATCCGTGGATGCCAATAATGAATTTTCCTAGTCTGTGGAGGATGAAACGTTTGTTGTTGGGAAGTTGAGGTTGCTATTCATGCAGTGACAATACATTACGGTTTTTCACTTTTGCTTGGAAGATGAAATTCGTTTTAATCACCTGATTGTTAGATACTCATTGTGATACCAAATTCACGAATTTGGGTATGATGATATAGTAACAAGAGAAACATCAACGCGGCTCAAACTTGCATTGCACAACTTTTTTGAGGAGTTTATATAAAGGGTTATTGAATGCTTTAGAGTTTCATTGTACTTGTAATTGAACAAATATATGAACAAAATGAGTTATATATGAAGAGCTTGATTCCAAAAGGAGCTAAATCCATATTTTGTCAAAATGGAGTTATTTGTCTTAAAATAATGATTTCCTACATGGGGACAAATGCACTATATCACATTCTAAAATTTCACCAGGAAGTATGAAAAAAATTAGGTACAGTATCATGTTTCATTCCAAAAGGAGCTAAATCCAAATCGGTTTCATTCCAAAAGGAGCTAAATTCACCTTGGGTACTTCTGAGTAAATCACCTTTTTTATTTCTCCACTTTCCCTTTAGCAATGTACCTTCATGTTGTTATATATTTTAAAGATGTCGCCCTGGACCAATAATATACGATAAGAACAACATCTACCACTTATTTCTGTTTTTACTTAATTTTTAGATTTTGCGGATTTAGCTCCTTTTGGAATGAAACATGGATTTAGCTCTTTTTGGAATGAAAATGTAATATGTTGTTTACTTTCTTTTCAGAAGCTTTTTTTAGTTGTGATTTCACTATTATTATTTAAAAGGAAAGGTTTGCTACTAAATTTGAATAAATTTCAGTGACTTTATTGAGAAAGTATGAAATTTCCAGGTACCATATCATGTTTCATTCCAAAAGGAGCTAAATCCACGAAAAAAATAATTCTAAAAATTTAGTAAAAATCAGGAAAAGCTGGTAGATTTTTTCTCATCATATGTTATTGGTCCAGGGTGGCACCTTTAAAATATATAACAATATTAGAGTGGCTAAAGGGAAAGTAGAGAAATAAAAAAGGTGATTTACTCAGAAGTACCCAAAGTGGATTTAGCTCCTTTTGGAATGAAACTCTTCATATATATATATATATATATATATATATATATGCATTTATTTATTTATCACACCACACCTCAAGTACTCCACCAAAAAACAACCCAAGGCTACAATGCCTCAAGCTTGGCTCCATAAACTATTGGTCATATCAGCTACGTCCTATAGTCTTCCATTCATATTTTACACACAACACACAAGACGACCAGGCATGTTTAACAACTCATAGTATACTTCTTACACTTACATAGCTAATTATTGACTGCCTTAGACTTCACTGTATTAATAAATAACAGAATATATGAAGAAAAACAGAGAACCAATTCCCAAGTGAGGTTATAGCCTGACTTTTTGTAAGGGTCTGGAAAATGAGGTTCGAGTATGCTACATTCATTTTCAAAGAATATTTGATTTTGTACACTCGCTATTACATTTAACAGTGAATAAATACCAGTAGAGCTGTTCAGGAACATCCCTTGTTCTGAGCCATCCCATCGAATTCTGTCGATCCTGGTCCCAAATGCAAAATAGACCTGGTCCTGTTTGGGGTCATACTCCACAGCCGTGATAGGGCCTGTTGCGTTCGTTGTGATCACACGGTACTCCAGCTCAAGCAAGTTGGTAGGCTTTCCATCACTGGTCTTCTTGAACGTACTCGTGTAAATGGCGCGTCATGACTAATGAAGATCTTGTTCATTTCTGAAAGCGTATAAACAGGATTTAGGCCAATTTAGCTATTACATGCGACTCAGTTGACATTATTATCATATTCGTATTTATGAAAGAAATAGTAAAATCCAGTTAAATGATATGAGCAGTGTATAATGGTTTTGAAGTTCGATGTAATGCATTTGTAAACTTTTTAGATCATAACGAATATAGTGATCAGTAAAAGGCCAACTTATTCTACCGTTGGTGGCATAATTACATCGCTTGTTTACAATAATTAAGTAATGATAATTTAGAGGTAGAATGTCTATTGGAAGTTATGTTTATATTAATACTATATGGTGGACGTCTTCATCATCATCATCATTGTTACAATATGATGTATAACATATTGCTGTATAGCGCCATCTATGTTCATACCACAAGATACTGTGAATAAAGAAAGCTCCCTCTTATGCCAGGTTAACTCACTTGTGCAAGTAGTGTTTTATTTGTAGCTAAGAATGTCACTATTAGAGTTGTAATAAGATAGAAAGAGACTAACAAATACATGGTGTCAGAAGTATACTTATCAGATTTAATGCCATGATTTGATTTGGCATGAGAGCATATAGGAAAGTTAGTTTCTAAGCTATCTTTTAATGGTCTAGACTATATGTAGATATTGTAGTCCCATGTACTATGTTTCGTGTATACTCTCTTAAGTACATGTATGAGATAGTATCGGTGAACACTGATACAGGTACTGTAGAAGTCACAGTGTATTAATTATTATACTGCTGTAAACGTGATATTGTCTGACATTGCAGTACATTCGGGGTAGAATATCAACCCTCTTGACAATAATGCCAAATCCAGAAGTTGGGGGGAGTGTTGATGCACGTGAGATCCCTGCAAGTGGCAATGAACAGCCAGGGCAGTCTGATCCACAGAGAAACAGTAGGAGAATTAAGAGTAATGTTCCCTTACCCCGTCCTCTTTCTCTTCAAGGAGATTTGAAACAAAATTGGGAGATATTCCACCAGATGTGGGAGAATTATGAAATAATCACGGGTCTGGAAAGTGAGCCCGACAGATATCGGATCGCTCATTTCATGACGGCCATTGGCCTAGATGCTGTAAAAATCCATACAGGCCTTCCATTCAGGAATGAAGAGGAACGGAAAGACTTCCCCACAATTCGAAAGCTCTGGCGAGAGTACTGCAGTGGCCAGACAAATATCACGTATGAGAGGTACAAATTCAATAAATACGCACAACACGAGGACGAGACCTTCGAAAGGTACTATGTCACGTTAAGACAATTAGCAGGTAGCTGTGAATATGGCGCCCTGATGGACGAATTAATCAGAGACAGGGTAGTATTAGGAATACTAGATGACTCAGTGAGGAAGCGACTGCTTCAAGAGCCAAATCTGACCCTGCAGGGGTGCCTCGACATTTGTCGGGCTTATGAGTCCTCTAAGACGCAAACACAGCTCTTGCAAGGTGATGCTTTGGTTGCGCATGCGGTGTCGCAGAAACACCAGCGCAATTGGCAAAATAAAGGGAAGGATTATGGCCACCAATCAGGATCACAAAACAATGTGATAGAGTGTAAATTTGTGGACTGAAGCATGAGCGTGTTAAAGAAAAATGCCCAGCCTGGGGCAAACAATGCTCAAAATGCGGCAAAAGCAATCACTTTGCAAAGATGTGCATGTCGTCTTATGATACCAGTAGTAGCTCTAGTAACAGGTCAGGAATGCAAGCAAGACGTAGTAGACCACCATTCAGGGGTGCACAGCACAATGTGCGTGCTATTTATGAGGATTCGGATGATGAAATCATGGTTGTGGCACTAGGTGAAAACACTAAGGAAGAGAATATCAAGGCTGTAGGGGACAATAATGAAACCCAATTCCAAAACAAAATCATGGCAACATTTCTCATTGAGGGGGAACCGGTGAAAATGCAAGTTGACTGTGGGGCCACAGTGAACGTCATCCCTCGAAAGCATGTTCCCCTGGGTATACCAATTCACGAGAATGCCAAGCAGCTAGGCTTATTTGGGAATAAGGCAAGCATTACGTCTGTGGGCACATGCAAACTGCACATGATGAATGCTAAGAATAGACAGCCATGTGATGTCCTCTTCCATGTTGTAAATGAAGAAACATGTGCACCATTGATAGGATCTAGAAAGGCTCAATCAATGAATCTGATAACAGTGCAGCATGAGAACATCGCTAGCTTAGATGACTCACCGGGTTTGGATAAGTATGCAAAGACAAAGAGCGAAGTAGTGAAGAAATACCAAGAAGCATTTAGTGGGCTGGGGAAGATGCCAGGCAAAGTCCACTTAGAGGTAGATGATTCATCACCAGTAGTGATGCCCCCCAGAAGGGTTCCAATAGCTGTTAGGGACAAGCTTAAAGAAGAGCTGAATAGATTAGAATCTCTAGGGGTGATAGATCAGGTACAGAAACCAACAGACTGGGTTTCAGGGCTAGTACCCAGATAACAATACGACGTTACGCCAACGTGGGGCCAACGTAAGCTGTTACGTTGGTCCAACGTCGCCAACATGATGTTGGGCCCACGGCTTTCTTGCCGGCGGGCCAACGTTGGCCCGACAGTGACAAAATGACATTAAGCCAACATCGGACCAACGTTATGCCGACCCCTATCCGACCATTTGTGCCGATGTCCTCCCGACATTGAACCAACGTTATGCCAACCTCTTTTCCACCGTATGCCGACGTCTTTCCGACATTGGACCAACGTCGTCCCAACCCTTTTTTAACCATGTGCCGACGTACGACCAACGTTATGCCAACCCCTATCCCACCATGTGCCGACGTTGTTCCGACATTGGATAAACGTTATGCCAACCCTTATCCCATCATGTGCCGACGTCTCCTCGACATTGGCCCAACGTTATACCAACCCCTTTTCAACCATGTGCCGACGTCTCCACGACGTAGGGCCAACGTTATTCCAACCCCTATCCCACCATGTGCCGACGTAGTTCCGACATTGGACCAACGTTATGCCAACCCCTATCCCACCATGTGCCGACGTCGTGGGCCGTTACGTTGCGCCATCGTCGCCAATGTGATGTTGGGCCAACGGCTTTCTTGCCGGCGGGCCAACGTTGGCTCGACAGCGACGAAATGACATTAAGCCAACATCGGGCCAACGTCCCCCCGACGTATGACCAACGTCATGTCAACCCCTATCCCACCATATGCCGACATAGGACAAACGTAATGCCAACCCCTTTTCCACCATGTGCCGACGTCTCCCTGACGTAGGACCAACGTAATGCCAACCCCTTTTACACTATGTGCCGACGTCTCCCCGACGTTGTCCTAACATAATGCCAACCCTTTTCCCACCAAGTGCCGACCCCTCCTCCACCATGTGCCAATGCTAGACCAACGTTATGCCAACCTCTTCTCCACCATTTGCCGACGTAGAAGCAACGTTATGCCAACCCGTATCCCACCATGTGCCGACGTTATACCTCCCCTTTCCAGTTCATGCCAACATCCTTCTGACATTACCAACACCAACTCAAAAACATATTCACACCAACATCAGTCGTCCGTTCATAAGAACATCGTCAAGATCATACTACATCGGACATGTACAATCATTCAAACACTTGCATCACAACGTGACAAGGAAAAGCCAAGTAGTTTAAGATTGGATTAAATAAATAAACAGAGCAAAATCCACAAAATGAAGATAGTAACAATTTCATCAAAATTAGACTGAATTTGAGAAAAGTTCATTATAGATCCCTCTGCAAGATAAGTATAATAACAATATTGAAGCAAGAGGGACATGTTATTTTAATTTCGTCATGTCTATTATCTTGTACATTTTAATCACTATCAAAACTTGATAACAACTTATTTGTCCCATTTTAATGAAAAGTTCACCATCTTGCTTCTTAGAATTTGCTCTGAATACATCCCCTTCCTCCAAAACAAAAGAACAAGGAAAATAAACTGATTTTGTGATAAAACATACTTTATTTTATGTGTAATAAACAAACTGTTGTAAATGTGAATACAATTATTGTACATCTTTCTTTTGTATTTTCGTTTGAATTCGAAAAAGATGTAAACATAGTTTCAAGTTCAAGGTATCTCAATGTGTCACAATATAGGCCTACTATCAATGAATGCTAGGACGATAGGAGCTGTTATAAAATGAATTGTCGCTTACACGTAACACAACATAACATACTGAAATTCATTGTACGAATATAATAAACAATCCTCACAACTTCCCGAGTAAAACAAAACAAACTTTCTGGCAGACGAACACGATTGCTTATGAAAAGATTCCTCTACATATGTACAGCACAAAAATATAAAGAAATTAATAAAGTGTCCACCATTTGCATACCAAGAACTAGGCAATTAATGTAAACAATGTTCCATAAAAAATAAAAAATAAAATTCAGAGAAATTGCCAACATTTTTTATGCTTAGGCATTTCAGAGATGCTGATACATTTCGTCGCGATATCTATTGTTAACACATCTACAAACTGTTTTTTTTTAGGAGGGATAGTATACATTGCTTGAATGTGTGAAGTAAAGCAATCGCTAAATGTTTATATAACAACAGAGGAAATTTGAAAGTGAAGTAAGAAAGAGCAGAGCTTGTAAAGGGAAAAACACAAGTTTCTTCACTCTGATATACCACTTTCAATATTTCTTTAAATTGAGAAGAAGGTAGTACGAAAAACATTCAGTCACTTAGATATATGAAACATTTTTTTCTTACCTTTGAAATTCTTTATAGCATGCATTTAGTTGACACGTTATACAGGCATTCAAATCAATTACGACCTTCTTCGACTCATGGTATAGCTCTCTTTTTAAAATTGGGCCATTAGTGAAATTTCACCACAATAAATAACAAGTAAAGATGCATAGCACACTATTTAATAACAAAAGTTATTGTTTATGTTTGTGTACAAAACATAATGCCTGCAGAGCTGGCTAGCAAGCACCGTAGCTTGCCTAAGCGGAGATCGTTCTTGATATAACATCACTAATCCTTTGGTCAATCATTCCGAGGAACTCTGAGAATTGTAAGGGCGGGGTCCACCATTAGACGAGCAACTTGGAGAGGTTTTCAAAAAATTGTAAAAAATATAAGGAGGCGTTTATTTATGAAACAATTGTTATTATGTTGCTTTAAAAGGGTCTTGATACAAGACATAAAAGTTTTAATTTCCTAAGGTATAATGGACCTTTAAAGAATGGGTTAGTCGGAATCAAAATCTTGTCTAGCTTGTGGTGGTACAACTTCGACATCTGCGGCAAAAAAAAGAAGAAGAAAGAAACCAAACAAGATTTAAAAGCAGATCATGGAAACATCACCTTGAAATAGAACGGATATTAATCAAATAGTACGGCATTCAAGGGAAGTAGTCCTGAGTGGCACATCCTCCCTAGTTTTGATGAAATTTCATGGATAGAAGTACTTTGTCATGAAAATAACTTCGTTCAAACTTTAGAGCGAATGACCCAGACGTATGGAAATTAGAAAGGAATGGATTTATTTTATTTTTGTCTTGTTTAATTAGAATAGCATCAAACACTCTTATTAACAAAGGAAATATACATTTGAGGTAAAATGGCAGTAATATTCTTCAATAGAAAGAACCAATTTTTAGTATCTGTTTGCTCAGTGTTGAGATGCTTGATTGATAACAGTTTAAAGCCCCTCTTAAGTGTTGGATCCCAAAATTAGCCAAAGAATAGATGGCACAATCTCACTTAAATGGTATGATGTAAAAGAGGATGTCATTAACACCCGGACACTTCTGCAAATAGAATATTGCCCTAACAAAATGTGTTTGAAGTAGAATATGGATGAAAGAATACAAAATTTGCGTTTTCTGCATACAACACAAAACCCTTATTAGTAAGTTTGTATTCTTTCTAATTTTTAGGACAAATGTTTGAAGAAGAGTGGCATTTTCTTTCACATCATTATAACATTGAAGTGAAATGTGAAGCTCCCAATACTTTTGTTTGTATTTATGTAAGCTCCCAATACTTGAGAGAGCTCGAGGGGCTTCAAAGTAGAAACAAAAACACAAAGCTATATCGTTAGTTGCTTATACAAGAAACAAATCAATTGACTGTGTTTTGTTTTTTGTGGCACCCTGCATTCAGAATTGTTTCCAAAAAAGTACTGCTATAAGCAGTATTTCATGATTTGTTGTTGTTGAATAGTTTTGTTAGTGATCACAGTGCAGTTTCTCAATATAATCAGGAAAAAGATACTAGCATCCGTTAGCAGCTATGTCCTACACAAACGTACATTAATCCAGTACATTTGTACTTTGTGTGCAGGGCACAACTATAACGAATACTAAGAAGTGCTATCCTGTCTACATGTATAACTAAATACAAAATGAATAAAATGCCAAATGACATACCCATATTTCTGAATGTTGAGGTCAATGGGGTCGTTGGGGTCGACAGTGTTCTGGAGGTTGATGGGGTCGATGTCGAAGGGGTCCTTGGTGCTGTTGATGCTGTTCTGGATGATCGAGGTAGGGGTAGCTGGATCTGAACGGGTAGAGGAATCTGGAATTTGTTGTGAAGTTGACGATATGAAATGCAGGATTTAATATTTAAATTTCAGAATTGTAGGAATTATGGGAGAAAAAAGTATTGGGATTTGGAAGAGCTATATAGAATTGAATATATTAATAAAGAACGTCAGAATTTTAAAAATAAATAATTAGAATATTTACCTTCAGTTCAAATTATAGCAATTTAATATACATGTCCATAAACAATAAAAACTAATTTGAAAATGAGAATAAAAATGCAGCAATAATCAAATTTGTGAATGAAAATTGTGAATGAAAATTATGGGATCGATCAGTGTTACCCCCGCCCCCAATAGTTTTTCCTATTTACTATTTGATCAAATTGAGGTTCTTGGCCAATTGCGACTTTAAATGATTGCAAATGCCAAAATGAGGGTAATTCCCAACAGCTACCTCTTTCACATCACACTCACAATCCACTAAATGTGTTGATACAAAGTTCTTGCATATTTTGGCAGACTTGGCACACTCCCTTGTAAGATTTCAGGAGGCTAGAAACATGTACAAGCGGGATATCTTAATTCACAGCCCAATCTCGTAATTTATTCCTTTTCGAAGAGTAGGAATAACAGTATAGTATAGACCTACTTCTAAATCTGAAAGTATCAGATCGAGACTATAATATCATTTAGATATGCATAAAAAAATGATGCGTCTTCCCATTCATCTCTATTTGATTCAATTGGTCTTTCCAACAATGCATCAGCACCTTAAGTTCAACACTTGTAACACCAACAGATTCACAATCATTTGATTCATGGTCGATATTGCATATTGGGATGAACATCATCACTGTCACGGACGCTGTAACATGATGTATCAATACATCACCTAGGTCTAACTCTAAGTCAGGAACATATTAACATTTATCACGGCAAACACTCAATGCATCTGATGCCGACACTTCGGCCCCCATCATAGCCATCATAGCCATCACTCACACTTCAATTGCACGCAGCGGGTGTGCATGCTAAGCGTAGTACACTCGTACTGCACTTTCACTTTCATTTGGACAGGGAATTATCAATGATTACTTTAACAATTTCTCATGCTATTTCCCTCGCTTTGTGACGGGGAGTTCTCACACTATACAATGCATCAGTTTCACGCGACATGCTCACAAAAATAACGTTGAAAGAGAAAGAAAATCATTCATTTACCATGCAGTGTTGGTACTCCCCGGCAACTGATCCAGACAAATGGACAGGATATGGCTGACGTACGTTGCAATTGCATGAGCACATGGGCATGCGCACGCATGCAATTTTTTTTACCCGAATGTAGCGGTACTAGGTCGTATTTGCTACGTTGGCCCAACGTCATATAGCCCACCAATATATACATGCACTATTTATCAGTAAAGATGGAGACGATATAGAGTACGTGAAGCCAAGGTTGGCCCAACATCGAATGGCCAGCCAAAAGCCAACATTTAAAATTTAAAATTGAGACGATGGACCAACGTTCAGCCGACGTTAGCCCAACGTCGAATAGCCAACCCAAAGCCACCATTTAAAAAAAAAAATTGAGACGATGGACCAACATGAAGCCAACATTGGCCCAACGCCGAATAGCCAACCAATAGCCAACATTTATAAGTTAAAATTGAGACAATGGACCAACGTTCAGCCAACATTGGCCCAACGTCGAATAGCCAAACCAATAGCCACCATTTATCAGTGAAAATGGCAACAATGGACCAACGTTGAGCCAACTTTAGCCCAACGTCGAATAGCCAACCAATAGCCACCATTTATCAGTAAAAATAATGACAATGGACCAACGTTCAGCGAACATTGGCCCAACGTAGAATAGCCAACTAATAGCCACCATTTATCAGTGAAAATGGCGACAATGAGCCAACGTTAGCCCAACGTCGAATAGCCAACCAAAAGCCAACATTTATCAGTAATAAATGAGACAATAGACCAACGTTCAACCAACATTGGCCCAACGTCGAATAGCCAACCAATAGCCAACATTTATCAGTGATAATTGAGACGATGGACCAACATTTAGCCAACATTGGCCCAACGTCGAATAGCCAACCCAAAGCCACCATTTATCAGTGAAAATGGCGACAATGGACCAACATTAAACCAACAATAGCCCAACGTCGAATAGCCAACCATAAGCCACCATTTATCAGTGAAAATGGCGACAATAGACCAACGTTCAGCCAACATTGGCCCAACATCGAATAGCCAACCAATAGCCATCATTTATCAGTGAAAATGGCGACAATGGACCAACGTTCAGCCAACATTGGCCCAACGTCGAATAGCCAACCAATAGCCACCATTTATCAGTGAAAATGGCGACAATGGACCAACGTTCAGCCAACATTGGCCCAACGTCGAATAGCCAACTAATAGCCACCATTTATCAGTAAAAATGGTGACAATGGACCAACGTTCAGCCAACATTGGCCCAATGTCGAATAGCCAACCAAAAGCCAACATTTATCAGTGAAAATGGCGACAATGAGCCAACGTTAGCCCAACGTCGAATAGCCAACCAATAGCCAATATTTATCAGTGATAATTGAGACGATGGACCAACATTTAGCCAACATTGGCCCAACGTCGAATAGCCAACCCAAAGCCACCATTTATCAGTGAAAATGGCGACAATGGACCAACATTAAACCAACAATAGCCCAACGTCGAATAGCCAACCATAAGCCACCATTTATCAGTGAAAATGGCGACAATAGACCAACGTTCAACCAACATTGGCCCAACATCGAATAGCCAACCAATAGCCATCATTTATCAGTGAAAATGGCGACAATGGACCAACGTTCAGCCAACATTGGCCCAACGTCGAATAGCCAACTAATAGCCACCATTTATCAGTAAAAATGGTGACAATGGACCAACGTTCAGCCAACATTGGCCCAATGTCGAATAGCCAACCAAAAGCCAACATTTATCAGTGAAAATGGCGACAATGAGCCAACGTTAGCCCAACGTCGAATAGCCAACCAATAGCCAATATTTATCAGTGATAATTGAGACGATGGACCAACATTTAGCCAACATTGGCCCAACGTCGAATAGCCAACCCAAAGCCACCATTTATCAGTGAAAATGGCGACAATGGACCAACATTAAACCAACAATAGCCCAACGTCGAATAGCCAACCAAAAGCCACCATTTATCAGTGAAAATGGCGACAATGGACCAACGTTCAGCCAACATTGGCCCAACGTCGAATAGCCAACCAATAGCCACCATTTATCAGTGAAAATGGCGACAATGGACCAACGTTCAGCCAACATTGGCCCAACGTCGAATAGCCAACCAATAGCCACCATTTATCAGTGAAAATGGCGACAATAGACCAACGTTCAGCCAACATTGGCCCAACGTCGAATAGCCAACCAATAGCCACCATTTATCAGTGAAAATGGCGACAATGGACCAACGTTCAGCCAACATTGGCCCAACGTCGAATGAGCCAACCAATAGCCACCATCTATCAGTAAAAAATGGCGACGATGGCCCAACGATTAGCCAACGTTGGCTTGCCGACTGCGACCCTGCCGACCGTGGCCGACGTTGGCCCAACGCCGTATTGTTATCTGGGTAGTTGTACAGAAATCAGATGGGAGAATCAGAGTGTGCATAGATCCCCAGTATCTAAACCGTGCCCTTAAAAGAGAACACTACCCGTTGCCCCTCATTGAAGATGTGCTCCCTGAACTGGCTTCGGTAAAGGTCTTCACCAAGGCAGACTGCAAGGAAGGGTTCTTGCAATGTGAACTGGATGACAAGTCATCGCTTCTCACGACATTTCAGACTCCATGGGGACGCTACAAGTGGAGAAGGCTGCCGTTTGGAGTCAGCCCTGCCCCAGAGCTTTTCCAAAAGCTCCTAGATCAGAACTTGGAGTGTCTGACAGGTGTCTACAAAGTCGCAGATGACATTCTGATTGTTGGCCGAGGTGCGACGCTCCAAGAGGCTCACGCAGATCATGACGCGAACCTCGACGCCCTGATGAAGAGATGTATCGAGCGCAAGATCGTACTCAATGAACGAAAATTTGAGTACAAAACCGACCGCGTGAAGTTCATAGGCCATGTCCTAACCAGTAACGGACTACAGGTTGACGAGGACAAAGTGAAGGCCATAACGGAGATGCCCAAACCGGACAGCGTCGAGAGCGTACAGAGATTCGTGGGCATGGTGAAATACCTTGCAAAGTTTCTACCGGCCCTTTCCGAAAAAAGTGAGCCCCTGCGTCGACTGACCCACAAGGACACACCATGGGAGTGGGGGCCCGACCAGGACAAATCTTTCGCGGATATCAAGTTACTTGTCAGCTCAGCGCCTGTCTTGAAATACTTTGACCCGGAATGTCAAACGGAAGGGCAAGGCGATGCCTCTCAATCGGGCCTAGGATTCGTACTCCTGCAAAAAGGCCAACCCGTAGCGTACTCCAGTCGGGCGTTGACTCCAGCAGAAACGAGGTACTCCCAGATAGAAAAAGAACTTCTAGCACAAGTATTCGGTCTCGAGAAACACCACGAGTATGTTTATGGCAGGGAAATCGTTCTGTGGACCGACCACAAGCCGTTAGTATCGATCACACAAAGATCCCTAGCCACCGCACCAAAGCGTTTACAGCGGTTACTGCTCCGTCTAATGCAGTATGATGTGCAGATCAAGTATATGCCAGGCCCAGAACTCTATCTAGCAGACACACTCTCACGTGCTTACCTTCCAAGCACTGAGAGATCACGTACCGAAGCCGAGACTGAACGCATCCATCTTGTTGATTCACTGAGAATTTCTGACGCGATGAAGAAGGAAATACTCGAGTCGACCGCGCGTGATGAGGAACTTTGCGCCGTGATGCAGTACATAAACGAAGGATGGCCGGCATCAATCCGAGACTGTGCTCCCGAAGTGAGACAGTACCATGCCATCAGACACGAACTAACATTCGATGACGGCATCGTCCTCAAGGGACTTCGTTGCGTGATTCCACGAACAATGCGTCCGACCGTAAGAAAGAGACTCCATACCGCACACACAGGCATCGACAGCACTTTGAGGAGGGCGAGAGAATGCGTCTATTGGCCGGGAATATCCGCGGACTTAAAGGATTATATATCCCGTTGCGACGCATGCAACACATATGCCGTATCACAACCAAAAGAGCCCCTGATCAGCCATCCTATCCCGAGCCACCCGTGGCAGAAGGTTGGCTGCGATATCTTCACGGTCAGTGGGCAGGATTACTTGTGCACTGTCGACTACCTCTCGGACTATTTTGAAGTAGATAACCTCAAGGGCCGTAAGGACGGCAGCGCTATCATCAGCCGGCTCAAACGTCACTTTTCCACTCACGGCATACCTGAAGAAATCATGAGCGACAACGGCCCTCCGTTCAACTCCGAACAGTTTGCTATGTTTTCTAGAGAATACGGATTCTCACATTCCACCAGCTCTCCGGAATATCCTCAAAGCAATGGAAAGGTGGAAAGTGCTGTAAAGATCGCGAAGGGACTAGTAAAAAAAGCAAAGACGGCGGGGGAAGATTTTTATATGAGTCTTCTCGTCTGGCGCAACACCCCAACCGCGGACATGAACAGCTCTCCAGCACAAAGGATGTTTGGGCGCCGGATGCAGACAAACATTCCTATCGCGAATGAACTCCTACAACCACAACTGGTGATGGATGTACGGGAGCGGAAAATACAGAAACAGGAGAGACAAGCTCTGTACTTCAACCGCCACACACGAGTTCTCCCTGACTTACAAGTAGGTGACCATGTACGCCTACAACCATCGCGTCATAGGGATAAGTGGGACGAAGCGGAAGTGAAAGAGAAAGTGGGCATACGATCATACAGGATTATCACGGACAGTGGGCGCGAACTTCGAAGGAACCGACGCCACTTGCGAAAGACATCTGCACACTCCACACCCGAAATCCCAGAACCAAACGCCGACGATCAAGCTCCAGAGTGGTTCGAAGACAGCGGACAACCAACTATAACCACTCACGCAACACCGATGACAACACCAACAAACCCACCAGAACAACCACTACGCAGGAGCCACAGGCAACAACGACAACCCCAATACCTTGAAGACTATGTAACCAATTAATTAAGACCCCATGCACACCTCCCTGAGTTACAGCTACCGTCCAACATTTAGGAATTGCTCATTTATAATGTCTACCATATAACACATAACTAGAGAATAATTCAGACTATATCATTTGTATTACTTTAGGCTGAATGACCAGCTATCCCACATACATGTACAATGCTAGTGCCACGTTTGGTTATAACATCATAACAGATTTGCATGTAAATAACGCGACCTTGTTAAGTCGCAGTTTAATGTATATAAATGTAAATGCGTTAAAATCCTGGGCAATCTTAAAAAAGAAAAAAAACAAATCAAATATATCAGATAAACAACAAAATTCTATTCTTCTAAAAAAGGAAGGATGTTACAATATGATGTATAACATATTGCTGTATAGCGCCATCTATGTTCATACCACAAGATACTGTGAATAAAGAAAGCTCCCTCTTATGCCAGGTTAACTCACTTGTGCAAGTAGTGTTTTATTTGTAGCTAAGAATGTCACTATTAGAGTTGTAATAAGATAGAAAGAGACTAACAAATAAACTGTAAACTGTATTAACCACGTGATCATTGTTACCAACTTCATCTTCATCTAAGTTACCATAATCATTATCATGATCATGATGAGCATCATTATCAGTACTATCATCATCATCATCATTATCATTAGGCCCAAAAAAAAAATCATTTGGTTGTCCTCGACCGCCCGCTCGTCATTTTCGGGCCGCTCGTATGTTTTTTTGTTTTTTTTATTCATTTTTTTTTTTTTTTTTTTTTTTTGGGGGGGGGGGGGGAGCAATCTTAAATGCCAAACAAACCATTTTATGCATTTACAAGGATCAAAATGCGTCCCGTTGCCAGTTTTGTCTTTTCAGTACGCAATTTGGTATTTATTAAACTTGCCATTTTTATTTTTCTATGTCAAAATGCCGTTCATTCAAATCAGGTTCTGAGCATTCTTAAACTCATTTTAAAGCCCATCTGTACTAATTTACAGGAGGGATTAGACCCCCCTGCAAGGTCCCTGGACAGGTGGTTATCTCATCAAATCAGCTCTCAGTTAATATAAGATAAAGAGGATCGTGGGGGACCAATGGTCACCGATTAGGCATTGTTTGCTACATAGAGGGCGCAAGTAGCTATAAGTAGTACAATGAAGATTTAAAAGGTGCTGTATGCCCCAAATACTTTGTGTTGGTCTTGATATTCATTGTACATGAAACTAGTCTTTTACCATATTAAAGTGTTTTATAGACTTTGTTTAAATGCTTGACAATCCCAATGATTTTTTTTTTATGGAAAAAAAAATATTACCGTAAAAAAAAAAAAAAAAGACACCAAAAAAAATGAAGTTTAAAAAAAGAAGAAAAAAAAATCCGCCCGCCCGCCCCTACTCCAGAAAAGCAATCGAGGACAACCAAACAATTTTTTTTGGCCTTAATATCATCATTATTATCATTTTCATCATCATAATCATCATCATTATCAGAGGTGTTGTGGTCCAGTGGATAATCATCATCACCATCATCGGTTTTAATCACCAGGATCTTTACCATCACCATCATCATCATCATCCCAACAGTTATTATCGCCCTCATCATCAGGTATAACTGTAATTACTTCTTTTACCTTTTTCGCATTGGGTTCCCATAAATTCGTTCGAGCACTCACACGTAAATCCCTCCAATGTCTCGGTGCATGTTCCTCCATTCTTACACGGATTGCTTAGACAAGCTAGGGCAGGGGTGAAATAATTTCAATTATAATAGACCTATCATACTATAATTCAAAATTATGAAATGACCCATTCTTTTAACAAAATGACAATTTGAATAGTTACATCGCATCTACGCCCGTCTACGTATATCTGGTTTTTTTTTCTTCAAATGTATCACGTCATACTGTTTGAATTATATTTCCTCTGCGTCTGACATCCTTTCTCGGAGTGTGACTTTTACTCAACACGTCTTCGTCATAACATAACGCTTTTTTGTCTGTTCATTTGTTTGTTTGAATTGTTGATCATTGTCATCTTTATAATTACCATTACACATTCTCTTATAATAAGTAAACATTATTAGTATTAGGAGCAGTAGTAGTAGTACACATTTATTAGTATTAGTAGTAGTAGTAGTAGTAGTAGTAGTATCATTATCAGTCATAATTTTTATTATCATAGCTTATTTGTTTAAATATTATTATCATTAATATTGGTATCACTATTACTAATGTTACTACTACTACTACTACTACTACTACTACTACTACTACTACTACTACTACTACTACGATTACCACTACTACTACTTCTACTACGATTACTACTACTACTACTACTACTACTACTACTACTACTACTTCTACTACTATTACTAATTCTACTACTACTACTACTTCTACTGTGATCATTAGAATACATTTTCATCTATATACATTGGTATTTCAGGTGAGAACATAATCCAAAATTAGTTTTTAGAATAATACATAATCAAAATCTTAACCGAGCTTCTTACCTGATATCATGCATGAAAAGGTATATAATATGTCATCATTAACCAGGTTATTTCGTGGCAAGGGGTTCATTTTCTTGTAGACTGTTGGGATCTCGTCTCCATTGGGTAGCCTTATTGGTCGACATGAAACGACCACGTCAGAAAGTCCGCTAAGATATTGCTGAGAGGGTGATGGGGAAGCGAACGAGGGACAGACGCCTGGGAAAAGGGAGAAGAGAAGAATTTCGCTAGGACTTAGCAAATACAAATATTAATAATGACGATGATGGTGATCTCCATCAAAACTACCATCACCATCACCATCATCGTCATCATCATCATCATCATCACCATCATCATCATCATCATCACCATCATCATCATCACCATCATCATCATCATCATCGTCATCATCGTCATCATCATCATCATCATCACCATCATCATCATCATCATCACCATCATCATCATCATCATCGTCATCATCATCATCATCACCATCATCATTGTCATCATCATCATCATCATCACCATCATCATCATCATCATCACCATCATCATCATCATCACCATCATCATCATCATCATCACCATCATCATCATCATCATCACCATCATCATCTTCATCATCATCATCGTCATCATCATCATCATCATTACCATCATCATCATCACCATCATCATCATCATCGTCATCATCATCATCATCATCACCATCATCATCGTCATCATCATCATCATCATCATCATCATTGAACGCTACCGCAACTACTTTCAAAAATCAACTCAAGGACATTATCCAATAAATCATGTACGGGTTTTCAAAAAATGACGTACATGGTCATTAATAGTGCCTCAGGTTGGATTTTGAAAAGTAGTTTTATTATTATCGATTTATTATTATAACCACCATTATCATCAACCCCATCATCATCAAACAACCCTCATCACCAACATCATCACAATCGTCATCATTACCAAATTAACATCATCGCCGTCCACATCATCATCATCATCACCATCATCATCATCTTACTATTATCATCACCATTATTCTACTTATTTCATCATGACTATCATCACCATCATCATCATCTTACTATTATCATCACCATTATTCTACTTATTTCATCATGACTATCCCCATCATCATCATCATCTCACTATTATCATCACCATTATTCTACTTATTTCATCATGACTATCATCACCATCATCATCATCTTACTATTATCATCACCATTATTCTACTTATTTCATCATGACTATCCCCATCATCATCATCTCACTATTATCATCACCATTATTCTACTTATTTTATCATGACTACCATGACTATCATCATCATCATTAGCATCATCATCACAATCATCCTCATCACCATCACCACACCATCATGATCATCATAACCACCATCATCATCATCTTCATCACCATCATCACCATCATCATCATCATCATCAACACACCATCATGATGATCATCACCACCATCTCCACCGTCATCATCAACACTATCATCTTCACCATCTTCAAAATCAGTATCAGTAATGTAGGCCGCCAGCACCATAACCATGTGTATACCCATGGGTCCCCTCAAGGGCGTTGGGTGAAATTTGTTATACTATTTCATTGTGTTATTGACCCACTCCTGTTTAACAACGATACTCTTTCTGACAAGAAAAAAACAAACCCATATTCGGATAGATAATATATTAATGACGCATAACTAGTCAAGAATATCGAAATAGATTTTGAGAACAGTTCCAACGATAGATGGTATTAATCAAAATTGAAAGGTAGAAATAGTACAGGGATATTTAAAATGAAAACGCTGACAAAATAAATCAATTTTCGTAATAACCATACTTTCATGAAGAAAAATAATTGTGGGCCCGCATTGATTTTCAAAGAATAATTGTCATCATTATTTGTCACATTATTACAAGAAAAAATAACAAAACATACCTCTAAGGATGAGCGAAGAGCCTACCAGGTAGAGGACTGTTAACGAGAATCCTGCCTGTATCATAATAAAAGCGACAATTGATGATGACAATGATAACGACTACTACTACAACTACTACATGTCGTGGTCGAGTTGATACGTCGGCGGATTGTGGATCATAAGGTCCACGGTTTGAGTCCCGCCGCGGCACTAATGTCCTTTGTCAAGACGTTGATCTACTTTTGCCACCCTCCACCCAGGTCAACCCGGGTCAAGTAATTACTTCCTTGAAATGCTAGAGCGCCGTAATGGCAGCCGTGCTAAAGCCACGGTTTTAATCGGGAGCGCCATGATTATAAAATCTGATAGATATGAAGCTATACAAGAACCTTACTACAACAACTAGTACTATTACTATTACTACTGCTTATTCTGCTAAAACTGGTACCATGACAACAACAACTTCTACTACTACTACTGCTACTACTACTACTACAAATTATACTACTACTACTACTACTACTACTACTACTACTACTACTCAAATGAGACCATAGTTACGATGAAAGAATATTCAGGGAGAAGGATAACGCAAGGCTGAGCAGGCAACACAATTAGTAAGGCGCATTGACATTTCAATCAAGGAAATTAAAGGATGCAGCTGAACAATGTCAATGTGAATTAATTAGGAATTGTGCTTGATCAGCCATCATGATCAAGTGACCCTTCTATCATGGTCATAACGTCAAATAAAGGATGACTTAAATTCAACTTTTAGATGCTGCGTAATTTCAATATTCATTAATTAATTAGATATCCTAAATCAGTTAAAACATCATAATGAACCACACATGCAGTCATCCCCATATTTCAGAGCATTGGGTGTATGATATAGCAGCTTTTAACAATCCTAAATCCGTCATGCGTGATATTGAAAATATTTTGTTTTTATGTCATACGAACAAAGAAACAATGAGATACCCAATAATGTATACATGAATGCAAAACTAATTTGGAAA